TGAAATGTTTTCCGAAATTTCGCAGCCGAACGACACAAAAATGTTATGTTAAAATTACATAATACATACCGTTTAAAAATATTAAATACATTGAAATACCGTTCGCGTGGACTTTTATGGTAGGATTTATGTTGAACGAAATGTTAAGCTCTATTTACTGGGACGATTTCTGTATGAACGAAAACACGAAATTGAGTCCGGAAATTCGTAATTTTATTCCATAGTAGACCTCCAGGGGGTGTATTATGAAATGTAATTCAGGATTTTCAGACTCAATTTTGTGTTTTCGTTCATACTGAAATCGGCCTAGTAAATCGGCCTAACTTAACATTTCCTTCGTCATAAATCCTACCATAAAAATCCAAAGGAACGATATTTTAACATTTTAAATATTTTTTTTTAAATATTTTTATACAAATTGTATTATGCAATTTTAACGTCAAATTTATATTTCGTTCGGCCCCGAAATTGCGGAAACATTTCATGGCAGACCCTTTGGTTCTTAGAACATAGCTCGTGGGCGAGGACTTGTTGATAGAGACGCTAGTTGTAATTAGGTAGGTGTTTACCTAATACTCGATTTATTCTCATTTCATTAGATACGTTTCTTTTAAATTTACAGTATACACATGTTTTTTTTAAAGGGTGAAAATGGAATGGTAACCCCGCCCGAGCTATCGGTACACACCGACGAGGTACCAGTGGAAGATGATAGGTGAAAATAAATGCAGGTCAGTTGGCCCACCATGATGAATTCGGAAAGAATTAAACATGATTGTTTCCAGGGGGAACCGCTTGGAGGTCGACCTGAGAAGGTATATTGCAAGCAATGGGGCTATTAAAGTTCATTACTAACAATCCCAATATTGTTAGCAGTGGGGCAATTAGACCCCATTAGTAACAATCCCTTTCCCCCCAGTATACACATATTTAGATATATTTACAGTATACACTTATTCTTTTGTCTATAACTATCTATGCGTGGATTTTGAAAGTTGGTAACTTGGTTCTAGTACGACGGTAGTATATCAAGATAAAGTTTGTATCAGATTTTAAGATAGACGTTCCGAAATACAAAAGTTTGTATAATTCTTTAAATAATGTAAGAAATAATTAATAGATAAATAGGTACATAAAACATGGTAGGATAAAACATGCATAACTTGATTATTTTATTTTTATTTTTTATACAACTTAGAATGGCAAACAAGCTGACGGCTCACTTGATGGAAAATGGTAACTGTCGCCTATAGACATGAACAGTATCATGGACATAACAGAGTATAATATTTTGGCTCATGATACTTTCCATGCGATGCCATTCCTGAGGACTCAGGTGTTATTCCTCTGTACCCTGTAAATTCACTGCCACATCCCACCTTTCGAACCGAAACACAGCCATGCAAACAACTGTTTCACGGTAGAAACACGAATGAGACAGAGGTGACCAAGGAAACGACTTTTGTACAGTCTCCCTCTGATTATGTACCACAAATATGAGACTTAGTATCTAAACGTCATATTATGAAATTTGTAAGAACATTTTGGCAATTTTAGATAAAATAAATAAATATAAAGGAACCCTAGATTCATAATTCTCTGGAACGTGCTTCCTGATACCGTTAAGAGACTACCGACTAAACTGTCTTTAAAAAAACGTTCATGCTCACTTTTTTACTTTATCCGAGCAGTAAGTACTTTATATTATTCTTAATTTCGTGTACGTAAATGTATATTTTAAGTATGTCTAAGTATATTTGTTATTTATATATATTTATTCGTTTATATATGTAATTTTAGTATGTATGTATATCAATAATTACTAGTAACGCATTCGAGTATTCTGACACTTCCCTATGGTTGACTGGGAGAGAATGCTTTTAGCATTAAGTCCGCCATGTACACATTATTATTACGTATTAATGAATAAATAAATAATTCCATACTAAGGCGTCCTATATTACAATAAAAAAGGATATGTATTTATCGTAGGTTAAAACATGCATAAACTTGATTATGTACCAAAAATATGAGACTTAGGATCTAAACGTCATACTATGAAATTAATAGGAACATTTCGTCAAATTTAAATACAAACGTTAGTACTTATATATGAGTATATATTTTGGTCGTGATCTACGCAAGGATTGAACCTGCAACCATCGGTATACGAGACAGTGTGCTAAACCGTTGTACCGTTCGTCAAATTACATCATTACAGCATCGGGAAATACAACATACAACTTATTTGAAACGTCGGGATCAAATATAGATTTTTGTTTACCTCGAAATATACGAATCTTTTACAAAATTTATTACCGTTGTCCACATGAGATACAGTAATCTACCGTACGGGGGCGTATCTGTAAAAGAGGCGGAATGTGTAAATTATTATTGACTGAATATTGTTTTGTATTTGCCCACATTTCACCCCAAATGAATATTCCACATTGAAAACGTGTCATTTTGTGTACAAAATGGATTTACCCGTGGAACATGATTGGATTATCTAGATCGCGTCACGTTTTATTTTTTTTCCTCGTCTTTCCAAGTGAATAATAAAACTATAGTTTGTTTCTATAAAACATTATGGGAAAGTAATTAACATTTGTTGAACTTATTAGATATAAAAGTTAGAAGGGGAAATATAGATAATTGTTTCTCAATCATTTTTGCGTCGCGACTCACGAAAAAGAAAAACTAAGTAAAAAGCCTTAGGATCTCATCACTATAAAATTGAAATATTTTAATAAATAGTTTATTCATACTTTTAATAACATTTTTTTATTATTTTTATTTATTACGTTAAACTAGCGTTCCATTGATTTTACTAATTAGTAATCAATCACTACCTTAATAATAGGTGATAACAAGTGACGACAAAAAAAGGTCGGTTCCGTTCATTACCTACATTACATAATATTAATTCGTAGTCGGATGAAATAAGTAGTCAAACGATTTGAAAATTATTCGAATGAATTGCTTGCTTAGTAATGATAAATAGTAGATTCTATATTGCACCCGTGCGAAGCCGGGATGAGTTGCTAGTTACAATATATTTAAATTTGTTTTACGAGACTAGACGCGACACTGTTACAGGTAAACAAGTGCTTTGCATACCTAATTTTATAGCTGACGTTTTAAATGTAATATTAATTTTATTTTTTTAAAGGAAAACTTACAGTTTTACAAACACAATTACGCAATTAAATAATTTATTATCAAAGTTTAAGATAATCTAAGATATATCTTATATCACCCATTAACTATCCACTGCTGAACATAAGCTTCCCCTTAGGGGTTTTACCAGTAGTTACCACGTTTGGTAGGCGGGTTGGCAGTTATTAATTAGTGGACTTTGGTGATATTTTAATAGGGACGCTGCTGCCCATCCCTCGATCACTAAAGTACTTTAGTCGCCTCTTACGACACTCACGGGAAAGGAAAGGGCGGCTCATTCTATGCCGGAACCACACAGAAATCAAATATATCAAATTTTGAAAAACCAAGTTACAATGAAATTAATTAATCTTTTTGCATACATATCTGTCACGCCTGTCTCCCATTAGGGTAGGCAGAAACAATGGAACGCCAAATGCTTCGATTCAAACAAACCTCTTTCGCTTCTTCCACATTCATCAATCTTGTCATACACGCTCGTCGGTTACGGGTACTTTTAATTTGGCCCTTCTTCAGCACGTCGCCTATTTGGTCGACATACGTCCGTCTAGGGCGGCCCCTACCGACATCTCCATTCATTCTTGCTCGATAAATCTCTTTCGTAATTCTTCTTTCATCCATCCTCTCCAAATGACCAAACCAACGCAACATTCCTTTTTCGATTTTGGTCACTACATCGACTTTCAGTCCACACTTCTCTCTAATCACACTGTTTCTTACTCTATCTTTTAAAGTAATACCACACATACTTCTCAAAGCTCTCATCTGTACAGCATTTATCTTACTTTCATGCTTCTTCTGCCATACCCACGATTCGCTTCCATACATGAGTGTTGGTGTCAGTACTCCTTGAATTATAGCAAGGCGAGCTTTGCTCGATACATTTTTACTTGACATAATCGAGAGCAGTGCACCGTTAACACTGTTTCCCGCTTTTACTCTCCTCTCAATATCTCTTTCACACTTCCCATCCCTCGTAAACAAAGAACCTAAATATAGAAACTCACTCACTTGCTCCACTTTTTCATCTCCTATCATAATCTGGCATGCCGTTAAACTTTCATTCCTCTCAAAAACCATTACCTTCGTCTTCTTCGCATTTATTTTCATACCTTTTCTTGCATACGCTTCATTCATTATAGTCACCATTTGTTGTAATTCATACTCCGACGATGCAAAAAGTACTTGGTCGTCGGCGTATAAAAGAGTCTTAAACAGAGACTCATTCATCCTGAATCCACAATTAGATCCTTTCAAATCGGTCAAGCAACTGTCCATAAATAGGTTGAACAGCCAAGGAGACGCTACACAGCCCTGTCTAACACCGCGTTCAATGCCAAACCAGTCTGTATAGACTCCATTTATTCTGACACAGGCATTTGAATCCTTATATAAAGATTTGAATGCCCGTATCAAATGGCTGCTCACCCCATACATTGCCAGTGTTGACCACAGTTCATTCCTCTCCACTCTATCATAAGCCTTTTCAAGGTCAATGAAGGCGCAGAAAACCTTCTGATGTTGAGCTAAGGTTTTCTCTGTTATGCACCTTAAGGAAAAGACTTGATCCGTACATCCCATACCCTTTCGAAACCCTGCTTGCACATCCCAAATTTTACTTTCCGTCTCATTCATCACTCTTTTAATCAAAATCCTAGCATACAATTTGCCTACAACACTAAGAAGGCTTATTCCGCGGAAATTTTTGCACTCCTGCTGTGACCCGCTGCCTTTATATAGTGGCACAATAACAGCTTTGCTCCAGTCACCTGGAACACAACCGGACCGCCAACATTTATTGAACAGCAGACACAGCAGGTTTACAATGATTTCTCCACCTTCTTTAAGCATTTCGGCAGATATTCTATCAAATCCCGCTGCTTTACCAAATTTCATAATCTTCATTGCATTCATTACTTCATCCATACTTATATCACTTTCACTGTCAACTTCTTCGTCCATTATTTCATTTTCAACATTCTTTCTTTCACTTCCACGTTCAAATAAACTTTCAAAATATCTCTTCCAATGATCTAAGACTTCCTTTTGTTCCGTGATAACATTACCATCCATATCCCTTATCACGCCCATTTTCGGATCTCTCTTTTTACCTCTAGCTGTTCGAACTAAATGCCAGAAAAGCTTTTGATTAGCTCGAAAATTTCTAGAGAATTTCCTTTCATACTCATCCTTACATTCCTCTTTCTTTTTGCTTACTAATTCTTTAACTTTCTTTTTCATTACATCATACTTCTCTTTTGCAATTTTTTCAATGTCACTTACATTACCTTGCATTCTCTTATTAGCTCTGGTAGCTAACAAATCCATCCATGCCTTTTTCTTTAGAGCCACCATTTCTTTCACTTCGCCATCCCACCATACATTCATTCTCATCTTAACATCCTTCCTCTTACTTACACCACAAACTTGAGTAGCTATATCAAAGATTCCGCATTTAAATTCCTTCCAAAATTCTTCTATCTCATAGTTATCTTTCTTCAGTAGCTCTCTAAATCTTTCATTCAATCTTTCTTGATACTGATTTCGAACCTGTTCTTCTGTCAGTCTCTCTACTCTTACTCTTTCTATTTCTGACATACGAACACGTGGACGATGTCGCCATTTATTGAATAAGCCACCTATTCTCGATATCACCAAAAAGTGATCAGTTCCGACATTCGTACCACGATAGACTCTTGTATCCTTCACTTTCGCTCTCAATCGTTCATCCACAATTACAAAATCAATCATACTTCTCTCAGTTTGCCTTTGCCATGTATACATATGAATCAGTTTGTGACTAAACAAAGTATTAGTCACCACCAGATTTCTCTCCAGGCATACTTCTAATAAACTTTCACCATTTTCATTCACTCTTTTATCTCCAAACATTCCTAAATTCCTTTCATATCCATCGCGACGGATTTCCACCCAGCCATTAAAATCACCTATCAAAATAATTCTTTCATTCTCCTTACATTTAGTCATAATCTCCCTTACACTATCCCAGAAATCCTCTCTGACCTTTGGTGGCTTGGACATATCCGGGGCATAAGCGCAAAGGAGAAAAATACGGGTCAAACTAACTTTCAATCGTATCCAGAGGAGTCTAGGACTTACAAATTCAAATTCTTTAACAGATGCATTCATTCTCTCTGACAAAATAACTCCCACTCCTTGGCTGCTTCTTTCAGAGTCATTAACTCCGGACCAGTACCCAGTATATCGGTCATAAGTAGTAATAGAGCAGCCTTTCTTTTTTGTTTCACTTACTCCTAATACATCAATTCTTCTTTCACTCATCATCTCACATACTTCGTCTATTTTACTATCCATACCTCCACAAACATTCATCGTTGCAATTTGGCATTCCTTTGCCCTCTTTTTGCCATTTGGGGAAACAGGGGAGACATGACGTGACCCGTGGCATAACGCATCGCCGTCGATGAGAAATTTGTCCCCCCAGATACGATGGGACTGCCTGAGTTGCACTCAGGGACGGATTCTCCGGCAGTGCCGGTACCCTCCTGGGGTAGTTGCGTTTTAATTTCTCTTATCATTTTGAAAAAGAACTGCTCTTCTTAACATCGGATAGGGAAAGGAAATAGGTTACATTGGGAGAGGAATAGGTTATAAGGAAAGGAGGTGATAAGTGGAAAGGAACTATAGGAAAAATGGGGGATACTACAGCTACGGAGAGGACATAGGTTTTGTAACTGTAGTAGCTATGGAGGCCGGGGTTGCGTACCCGTATGCCCTTACTCCACAATCGGACAGATTAATAGAGAGGACATCCAATGACGTAAAACTTTCTTGGCAACTATTTCAGAAATAGATTTCCAACACCCCACAGTGAAATCCCACTTGGTAATATTGTTAGATAAAATATAAGTGCTAAAACAATTTTTTTAATGGATGATATAACCTCGCCTGCTCTAACGGTATATGCTGGCGGAGCACCATGGACGGATGATAGATGAGAATGAAAAACAGGCAGTTAGCCCATCGTAATGAATACACCTGGGATTCAGCACGATGGTTTCCAGGTGATCGATTTCGAAGCACGTGGAGATCGATCTTTTCAGATTGCTAGCAATATACCTGAAAAGGTATATTGCTAGCAATGGGACTGGTATTCCGCATTACTAGAAATTCCTGCCTCTCCAAATTTACTATTTTATTTATTAATTAAATGGGTCAATATGACAATTTGTGTGACAAGTTATCAGAAATTAAAGAAATATAGTAGGTATCTCGGTTATACAAGAATCAAACTCCCTTCTTCTGGGAATTACCAGTGACACCCATTTACCATAATTTTTCCCATGGTGTTCTATTTACCTTATTTTCGACATGTTTACGAAGTTGTATTACGAGTATAATTTGCATATTCTGTTTTGTGTCTTTTATCAAGAAAGTGAGTGGTTTCAGATAGGTTTGGACATTATATATTGGAAGTAATAAATAAAGGGGTAATGGGTGGGTAATTTATTGTGAAAGCTGAATTTAGACTATTTAAAGATTTATAAGAGAACCTAAAGGAATCACTAAGTCAGGCAATTTAAAACCTTGGAAGCTAAAAGGGTACTTTTGTTATCATTTTTAGGTAGAAATACTGTAAAGAGCTAGCTAGCTCTAGGTTATTTTTGCAAATATTTTTTTAAAGTACGAAGATGGTATTGTGTTGCCATGTATCTAATGGTATACAAAGGCGGGGTCTTAATTGAGGATGGAGTGATGAGGAACTTTTTAGTATACATGTATAGTGCTAAGTTTATAGATAGGTACCAACAGGGTCGGACTGGGCCGGAAGGGCCCGGGTGGTTGACCAAAGGCACAGAGTTCGAGACTTTTTTTGCTAGGGAATACCGTTTACCTAAATATTGAGAGTCAATAACACTTCGCTATTGAGATACCAAGTGTTATGATGAATTTACGATTTATTTATTCAGTTTTAAGTTTTAAATTTTCTGTTTTTATGTGCATAAATACTTTGTACAAAAGTCGTTTGCTTGGGTACCTTGTGTTTGCCTGGCTGTGTTTCAGTTTGAAGGATGAGATATGGCGTGAATTTACTGGGTACAGAGGAATAACACCTGAGTCCTCAGGAATGGCAACGCATGAGGGGTTTAATGGGCGAAACAGTATACTCTGTTATGTCCATGGTCCTGCTCATGTCTTTAGGCGTCAGTTACCATTTTCCATCAGGTGGGCCGTCAGCTTGTTTGTCATTATAAGCTGTATAAAAAAAGATGTGATGATGATGTGGAGCCCGAGACTAGATGATGGTAGTTGCACCAGTTGGTAGCGGCACCACAAGACCCACAAGTGAGGCCCATGGAGGGCCCATGCGAGCTGAAGGTAGGTGGCCCGGTTGGCAAATTCCACCTCGACTACATGGCCACTCCGACGCTGGGTACCAAGTACAAATGGAATCATAAAAGTAAAAAAAAAATCTTTTTTTAAATTGTATTGCACGATTAGGTCATGTATTTATTATGAAAGGTCTAAACATTCTGTTTAGATTTTGACTACGCATTTTTTTTAATGAATGATAATGAAATGGTAACTCCGTCTGTGCTATCGGTATACACTGAATAATTCCACCAGAATAGGCCACTCTTTCCTTTCCCATGGGTGTCGTAAGAGGCGACTAAGGAGGGCGAGGGACGGACAGCAGCGTCCCTCTTAGGACATCTCTAAAGCCTAACTGCGGTTAACAATCTGCTTGTCAAGCGTGAGAACTACTGGCAAAACCCCCCCCTAGGGGAAGGCTTATGTTCAGCAGTGGACAATTAAAAGCTAAAATGATGATGATGATTAGTCGAATTATGTAGTACAAGAATTTTGCTTTTTAAAACAAGCGAGTTTTTAAATTTTTTAAGTATTATTATTTAAAACGGTATCTTTGGTCATCATAAAATTAATACGGTTCTAGCACAAAAGTAGATCTTATTGATTTTAAAAAGATTCAATAAAGTTAAAATGAATCAGAATTGTGGAAAAAAAATATAGATTGAAAACCTCCGGGCAAATTTTTTATGGCTCCCCTCGACGAGAAAAAAAGGACTTTGAGGACACTGTTCTCTACAAATTATTAACGTCGAATTTCATACGAACTTTTATTGAAGCATGGCTCCTGTGATACCCTTCTTGGACCTTGTCTTTCCCCTTACACACACACAGACACACACACACGCGCGAATACGCATATATATATGTATGTGTATGGATATTTGCATGTGTATGTCTGCGATTATTCGAATGACAAATGTGCATGGCGTTAGTCGATCATGCATGGGTTTTTAATGACCATGTAATTTTAGATATAGTACATTTAAATAAATACACATAATCTTAATAGAGATTTATAAGAGTAACTGTTGTGTATCTTGCGGGCGTTTCTCAACAGATAATAGTTTTCTGAACTCTGCAGTACATTGAAAAAAAATGACGATTTAAAAGTGTTTTCCATCGCCATAAGTCCCGATAGTGAAAACATAATGTAGTGATGACATGTCTTCATTTCCGAGACAGATCAAAAATTTTTACCCACCATTGTGAAAAAAAAATACCCAATCTGGCAACACTAGCCTGAATTCATCAGTGTTAGACGTGGGTTATAACAGGATAAACAATATCTGTTATTACTGTTACTGTTACGCAATAATAACAGGTACCAATATTGTTATTAAATAGCAGGTGTTATTTTTTTCAACCACGGCCCGTTAGGATGGAAATAAAATACAAATAGATATCAGTTCAAGTATAATTCTAGGTGCATCTCGTTTTAGCAACAGTATATCAAATAGGTGTGAGCGAGCTAGATAAATCAACGAAATAACAGATAACACGATTTAATTAAGAATTCGCTTTTCAAAGAGGATTTCTTCTTATGAAACAAGTTATATAATTTGGGTTTATTTTAAATAAGTATCTCATTTTAGCTTATGGCAATATTATACAAAAGACAAAGTCAAGAATAGTTGTTTAATTGTATATTGGCTGTTCTGTTATTTCAAGCTATGTTAGTGACCGGCTGTTATCGAATATTGAAATTGTTGATAGTGGTTGAATAACTTAAGTGTGGTGAATTATAAATGATATTTTTTAACAGATATAATAACATCGCAAGAACAACTGTTATCTGTTATCTTCGAATACTTGTGATTTATATCTGTTATGATAAATACGCTTCACTCTTAATCAGTGTATAGATGTAACATTTGGTAAGAAGCGGAAATGTTGTGGCAGTTACATTGCATAATGAAATATAAATAATAATTCCTTCTTTGAGTAGCAGCCACTGTCGGTTTGTAATTACTTTTGTAAGAAGCATTTGTTTTTTGTATAATGTAAATTTAATAACTGCTTACGTACCGTGTGTCTTCAGGCGCTTTATAAAGGGAGGAGTTTCTCAAATTGTCTGTATTTTTACGATTATACTAGCTTTTATCAGCGACTTCGTCTGTGCAACCAGAATATCTTTTCTGACCGGGATAAAAAAATCCTATGGATAGATAGATAGATAATATAATTTATTTGCTTTACATAAATAACAGACGTAAAGAGAACTACACAAAGAAAAGATATAAAATATAAAAGAATACATATACAAAACTGGAACTGCGTAGAGATGTTGCATCTCTGTGCATTTTCTACCGAATTTATCATGGGGAGTGCTCTGAAGAATTGTTCGGATTGATACCTGCTGCAGATTTTCACCATCGTACAACCCGCCATAAACTAAAATTTCATCCCAACCATCTGGACAAGTGGCGGTCCTCCACCGTGCGTTTTTCAAGGCACTTTCTCCCACGCACAACCACTCTTTGGAATCAACTTCCAGCAGCAGTATTTCCGAACCGATACGACAACATAACCTTCAAGAAAAGAGCATATTCCTTTTTAAAAGGCCGGCAGCACACCTGCAATGCCGTAGGTGTTGTGGGTGATCATGGGCGGCGGTAGTCACTTACCATCAGGTGAGCCGCATGCTCGTTTGCCCCCTGTGTTGTAAAAAAAAAAAAAAAAAAATACAAAAAGAAGAAAGGAAAATACATTAAAGAAGTAACATAATTTTTCTTTCGTATGTGTACCATAGCGGTACAAAATGGTCAGTCAATACTCACGTTATTGCTTTGCCCTCAAGCAAGAGCGAAACATTAATATTTTGTTGTGGTCAAAAGAGAACAGGCTTACAATAAAATAAAATAAAAATATCAATTACTTATACAATATACAGTTGATTTAGCAAGTAAATGGAATGGAAAGGCAACTTGATGGAATATTTAATTTTTCCATCAATAATTTAATATGTAGTACGTGTATATCAAATTTCGTAGTGATTGGTT